CAGAGCAAGAAGAAGCAAGTAAAGGCACCAAAAAAGTTGTGGAAGAATTACTAGAAGAATCAAAACAACTATGAGATATCATCTCACGCCAGTAAGAATAGCAAAATTTAACAGAGCAGCAAACATCAAATGCTGGCGAGGTTGTGGAGAAACTGGAACCATTATTCACTCTTGGTGAGGGTGTAAAATGGTGCAACCATTATGGAAGGCTGTATGGTGCTTTCTCAAAAAGTTGCAAATAGAAAGACCATTTGACCCAGCAATTCCACTGCTGAGAATATATCCTAGAAAAACCATAGCTGCCACCCAAGCACATATATGCACAGCCATGTTCATTGCAGCTTTGTTCACAATAGCAAAGATTTGGAAACAACCTAAGTACCCATCAACAAATGAATGGCTAGAGAAGCTCTGGTATATTCACATAATGGACTATTATGTTGCAGTGAAAAACAAGGAACTCATGAAATAGTATAAAAAATGGGTGACCCTGGAGGACATTATGCTGAATGAAATATCTCAGTCACAAAGGGACATATACTGCATAGTGCCACTGTTGTAATATGGGACTAACATCAGGGTTGAGGGGAGACTGAGAAAGAGGAGACAAATAATGTATACTGCATTGAAACAGATGAGGGAGAGAACTGTTTGAAGGTAATATATGATTAGGTATTGTTATCATGGCAGGAGTCCAGAATGAAGACTGCATAGCGTAGTGCTTCAGGGGAGGGATTGTATAACAATGAAAGAATATTTCTTTTACTTTTCGAAGAGAGGAGAGAATTGGGAGGGAGGGTGGGCAGGGAGAAAAATGCAATAATGAATGAACTGAAAAGTCTCTGCAAATATTCATTAAAATTCATTAAATAATTACTACAAGAAAACTTCCCAGCATAATGAAGAATGAGAGAATATATATTCAAGAAGCTGAGTGAACACCATACAGAATAGACCCCAAAAGAAAAACACCAAGGCATATATATCATTGTCAAATTTGCCAGCACCAAAGATAAGGAGAGAAGTCTGAAAGCAGCTAGGGAGAAACAGAAAGTAAGCTGTAAGGGAGAGCAGATAAGATTAAGTGCCAATTTCTCAGCAGAAACCATGTGAACAAGAAGACAGTGGAATGATACGTATCGAACACTCAAAGAACACAACTGTCAACCAAGAATACTATACCCAGCAAAATTGTCCATCAAATATGAAGGAGAGATCAAGATAATCCTGTAAAAACAGAACCTAAGGGAGTTTGTGAAAACAAGACCAGTATTGCAGGACGCACTGAGAGACATCCTTATTACAGAGGTGCCACAGAAAGCACGGTGGACCAAAGTAACTAGCAACAACACCAAAAAGAACTCAACAAACTGACATCACTAAAACCTTGCCTCTCAATAATCACACTGAATGTGAATGGTTTAAATGCACCACTGAAGAGAAGAGTAGCAGATTGGATTAAAACCCAAAATCCATCAATATATTGTCTACAAGAGATATACCTGAAAAATGAAGATAAAGACTAAAAATAAAATGGTAGAGAAAAATATACCAAACAAATGGCAACCAGAAAAAAAGCAGGAGTAGCTATATTAATCTCTGATAAAATAAATTTCAATGCAAAAACCATCACAAAGGACAAGGAAGGTAACTACATAATGCTTAAAGGGTCAATAAAACAACAGGACATAACAATAATAAATATCTATGCACCAAATGAAAGACCTGCACAATATATTAAACAAACATTAACAAAATTGAAAAAGGAAATAGACAACACTACTATAGTAGTTGGAGATTTTAATACACCACTCTCAAGAAAAGATAGAACTACCAGAAAGAAACTCTCAACAAAGATACTGAAGAATTAAACCACACACTATAAATTCATTAAAGAAAAGCTTAGAAGAACTCTATAAGTTTTAATCCACAACATCAACAGTCTTCCAAGCATCATGGAAAATCTACAACCAGGAGAGAGGATAAAATAAGATGAATGGGACCTTCTAAGAATCAAATCCCTATGCACATCTAAAAACTTCTCCAACAGCATAAAAAAGGAAGCCACAGACTGGGAAAAAGTATTAGGTAATGACATATCAGATAAGAGAATTTATATCTAGAATTTATAAAGTACTTGAGCACCACAACAAGATAAAGGTAAACAACCCAATTGAAAAATGGGCAGAGGATATGAACAGACACTTCACCAAAGAAGACATTCAGATGACACACAAACACATGAAGAAGTATTAAAAATCCCTAGCTCTAAGAGAGATGCAAATCAAAACAACTATGAGATATGATCTCACCCCTGTAAGAATAGCAAAATTTAACAGAACAGCAAACAACAAATGCTGGAGAGGTTGTGGAGAAACTGGAACCCTTATTCACTGTTGGTTTGCGGGTAAAATGGTGCAACCACAAAGAAGTCAGTGTGGCACTTTCTCAAAAAGTTGCAAATAGAAAGACCATTTGACCCAGCAATTCCGCTATTGGAAATATACCCCAAAGAAACACAGAGATAAAGGAGGAAGTGTGTATATTGTAATTAATGCTATGAAACAAAATGTGCTTAAATGATTTAACAGAATATGAATTTTCCAAATTTGCCATTTGCCAGTGGAAAGTAATGCAAAGTTAATGGTTAAAGATGTAGTGTGTAACCAGTTCTGTGACTGGAAAAGTTGCTAAAATATTTTCTAGCCTTGGTTCCCTTATTTTTATAATGACAGCAGCAACAGTAACAACAAACAAAAACAACAATAACAATAATAGTATATATAAAAAGCTTAAAATCAGTTCACTGACTGCTGTTGACAAATGGTGATGAGGACGCCACTCTTGCTCTTGGCTGCTTGCCTGCCCCAGTTATATAGTAGGCCTCCAAGGAAATGAGCCCTTCCTAAAGCCTTCAAGGCTTTTTATTCTGCATCTCCCAGGACTTTGACTGGTTTATCAAGCTCTGTTCCTATCCCTGCCCTGCCCTAGTTGAGGTTTGCCTCTGCACAGGCACTGGAGATTCTAGAGTAGACAATCCACTCCACCCTACTTAGGATTCCAGAAATAGATGTCTAAACTCTGGGTTCATGCTGAGCTTGACCATATTGAGCTCAGCATTGCAGAGAATGTGGAGGTTTGGGGTTCCTTCAATATCCATCCAGTCATAGGAAGATTGTCTTTGGCTCACTCCTACTGAGAAGCTCTATTGAGAAGCCCTCTTTGAATTTCTGCCTCACTTAAGATCCGCCCACAGGACAATTCTGGATCAGATGAATGGAGACGTGCAGCAGACCTACTGTATATGGAGCATGTAGGGCAAAAGCTGTTCCACCCCAGCCGCTGGCCTTTCCTTTCTCCTGCTTAGCACTCAATATTCTTCCTACTTTCTTGTGGAACCCTCCTCTGCTTCCTCTAAGGTTCCCATCTTATGTGCTATTTTACAGACACATGGAATGTGTCTTATTTGACAGGAGGTCACATAAGGATGACAGGAAGACGAAAGTTCAGTGAAAATGTTCTCTCTCTCATTGCTGTAGAGTCAGAATCACCTCATAGTTGACCTTCCACTTTATTTCTGAGACGGTAATCACATGGGATGGATGGGATTGTCCATTTTTCTCCCTTGGAGCCACTGGCGTATTTGAACTACCAAAGAGCCTTTGAGTTAGCAGCATAACTTGCTAGGGACGAGGCCACCAGAGCTTTCTTGGGGTTCAGAAAAAGGCTGGCATAATTTAAAGTCAGAGCAGAGACCCAAGGAACTCCCTCTCATATGTCTGTCCCCATCCATGTTTAGCATAGTTTCCAGAGGTATTATTTCACTTCTGCCTTTAATGTGGAAATCGATCTTGGTATTCCCATGGGATGAGGCAAATATCTTTGTTCTTTCTGCCTCTTGGGCTTGTTGTAGTCAGGACATTCCAGCAGGGATAGGTGACCAACAGTAACTTCAAGACTGAACCTTTAAGTTCATATTTTTTTACCTATACCCTGGCTATCTGGTGTGTCCACTTGCCATACAGCGGTAACTTGTGGTTGCTGTGAGGCGGAACACTGTGACACTGATGTATCAAACGCGTTAATGATTGATTCTCCAATGTGGACAGTGTGGGCTGGAGCTCCCTGATTAAGACAAGCTTGGAAGGAGGAGTGGTATCCACTTCCGTAATAGCTTGTCTTCGGAAATTCTATGAACCTGGAAAGAGGATGAAAGACACACAAGCATTGAGAACTCTCCTTCATAGGGTCACTATGAGTCGCTATAAGTGACTCGACGACACTTAACAACAACAACAATGTACCCTGGTTATGGAAGGACTGGGGCTGCTGTGAACCTCAGGCTCAGAATGAACTTTGCTTCTCCCCTCCCAATTGCTCTCTTCCTTACCAGTAATGTGCTATTCCAACAGATTCAGCTTTGCTAGCCATCACTGCATTCACCTCCTCATCCCTGCACCTATTTTGAGAGTTTGTCAAGCAGGGTGATAAGGGTCAGGTTGTAGGATTGACTAGCATGGGGCAGCATTTCCCAGCTGTCCCCAGTAAGGGACATGGGAAAAACACTCCAAGAAAGAAGCAACTGAGGCTGTGTCAGACAAACTAATGGAGACAGATGATGCTAGGCTGCTGGTTGGATCCTGACTTAGAGATAGGAGGAATGATTTTGTTGGCTGGACAATTTAACAGAGCAAGCTGTACCAGAGTGGTGACTATTGGGCAACTGGATCCTATGACATTTTCCCCTGAAATTGCAGGTGGAGCTGGGACTCCTCTATTCCAGACATCTCTCTGTCTGCCTTTTCCACATTTCCCCCCTTCTCTCCCTACTTCTTTCTCTGACCTTTTTTGGATCTCCCTTCCCTTTGTGGTCTCTAAATTGATCCACCACTGCATCTTCATCCTAATCTCAGAGCCCACACCCTTGGCTCCTTTTTCTACTATCTGCCTCATCTGGCATCTGTACTCACCATTAGCCCCTCTTCCCCTCTGTCTACAGGATGGTGCTGATCAACCTGTCATGGCTGAGACTCTGGCCTGACACAGTCTCCCCATGGCTGTTCCTGCTGCTTGCTGGGACCTCCTGGATCTTGGCACAGACCCTGGCCTGGATCTATGCCTTTTATGACACATGCTGCCGTCTCCGATGTTTCCCACAGCCCTCAAGGCAGAACTGGTTCTTGGGTCACTTGGGCATGGTAAGTAGGACAGCAGAATGGATCTGGGGTGGTCAGGACCAGACAATCATGGTCAGGGGTTAGAGATCAGGTAGTGAATAGATCAAGGACTTTAGAAAGTGGAGGGAGACTGAGGGGAGATTTTCTTTCCACCTTCATCCCTAAGTCTACTTCTTTGTGTGTTTTCTTCCTCCTCTTTCTTTGTAGGATTTTTTTTTAAATTGTGAAGAACATGTATGAAGATACAAGGGGGTGAGGGTTGGGAGCAGAACAGTGAGAATGGGCAGGGATGAAATCACAGGGTTTCACAATTTGGTGGGTGTGGGGAGTGGTTGAAGGAAATGAGAAAGACCCAGTGGGGACCAGAAGAGACAGAGTAATGGTAAGTATAGTCCATGGTGATTAATTTTTTTTAAACAAAGAAATTGTCATATTCGCTTGTGTGTTTCTCATTTTGGGAATGGGGTGTGGACTCTCTGGCTTCTTCATGCTGAACAGGGACATTGATGTGAAGGGCGAAGGGGAGCCCACTCTAAATACCTCCCTGGTGTTCCTGGGTTGAAGCTGAATGCCTTCTTGTTCAGTTAGAGGATATTTTCCTGATATTTATTGCCCTCTGGACTGCAAAGTGTTTGCCAGTGTGGGTCCAGTGGGGATCTATTCTTCACTAACAGTGAGATGCTTTCTTGTATCAAGACCTTCACCTTCTGTGACTCCATGGTGCCGCTGCCACCGACCCCACCCCATCCCCACCAGCCACAGCCACTGGCCATACCGGGGCTCTGTCACACCGGCCGCGGGGCCTGGTGCCCACCACCCTGTCTAGGCTAGGGGACCTGTGGGCTCAAGCCATAGTGTCCCCATGGGGTTACAGCAGTGCAGGCTAGTGGGCAGAAGTGGGATGCACTCATGTTCTTTCGAGAATCTTTGTCCTCTTGATGTTGAGCGTCAGTCCATATTAATAACCAGCAGTCAACTGCTTGGCTATTTGGGTATATATAAGTTGCATGGCCTGTTTCAATATGGCTTGCCAGGCCTTCTTCTCTTCAGGATGTGTCTCTTGCTGCTGCCATCTTGGTTCCAAGAATTTATTTTAGAGTAAGTTTATTCTGCGATATTGGGGAGGCTCCATTGTACCAGCTGCGGGTCCTGGTGCCCACCATCCATCCCAGGTGATCCCTGGGGTCTGGCCATGAGGCCCCATGAAGCTGCAGTGGCAGCTGGGAGAGGGACTGGGAGCTCCCACTGTTTTTTGGGAATCTTTGTTCTCTTGATGTTGAGCCTCGATCCATATTGAAGACCAGTAATCAACTGTTTAATTGTTCAATTATGGATAAATTGAGGACTGTGGAGGGCCATGGTGGTCTGTTTCTAGGCAGCTTGCCACTCCTCCAGCTCCTTACGCTGTGTCTTTCGTAGCCACCATCTTGGTTCCTATGTCTACTTCTTTGTTATCTGTCCACTCCTATGCATAAGCCCTTTCTTTTATATATCCTCTTTCCTCAAATCTGCTTTGAAACATTTTTCGGTCTGTGCTTTCCCCATTAGTCTACATCTATTTCTCCTTCTGGGCTCCTAGGGTTCTCTGGGCAGAGCTTGACCTCTTGACTTTCTCAGTCTCAACCTTTGCAGGAGATTTTATCAGGAACACAGTCCAAGCTTCACTTCCCTTGTCCAAACCAGGCTCTATTGTCCTCAGGCCAGTGATCATGCCTTTGAGGGTTCCAGTCCTCAGTCTTCTCCAGCAGGACATAGCTGAATCTTCATTTTCCCCCTTCCCAGGGCACTTTTCTCTTCTAATCTTGCCTTCCAACCCCAAGAGGTACCAAGGAATCCTATTGCCCAACTGGATAAAGGTTGATTACTTACCCTTTTAGAAGTCTTCCTTGACTTCTGCGTTAGCTTTGTTACCTTTATAATTCAAAAAATGCCCGGTCATTTGCTTAGCATCCATCTCTACCACAGGATGTGACACTGGTATGCAAGAATTGTATCTCCAATGCCTAGGCTAGGAAATGGCATGTAGTACGCACTCAATAAATGTCTGAGGCCATAGTAATTGAGGACACATTCTGCATGTCAGTAACTTTCATCTCCTTTACACACTTGAAGATGAAGGGATAGGCTCTAGAAGTTCCCTTTGTTCAGACCATCTTGGGGACAAACACAGTATGCTGTCCTGTGGAGATGAGAACAGCAACTTGGGGAAAACCTTATGAATCTACCTATGATCAGATAATCAGAGAAAAGTTCATTTAGAAGGAGATGCTCTCAAGGTCACCAAAAATGTTTCCTAAGATTTTTGGGATTTGGTGTGTCATCAAAAGGTCCTGATGGGTTACATGTGAGACTGCTGACTGTTTTGTATTCTTCAGTTGATAAATGGGAGAAAGAGGAAGCAGTTTGGTCCCATTGAGGTTTATAGCTTTGAGAACCTAACTGAGGGTCACCATGAGTAATAATTGACTCATTGTCAGTGAAAAGATGGGGGAAGTCAAGGGGTTCTGGCGGCTTCAGTGATGTCATCTGTGAACTGCTTCCCAACCAATTATAAATTGACTGTGGTTATTGGTTTGATCTTGGCTATTCTCCCTCTGTTCCAGTCATTCTTACTGTGTAACCTTGGGATATTCACACTCCCTCTCTGGATTGGGTCCACCATGCACATTGGAAATACAACTCAGATATCTTAGGAAGCAAGGAGCAAATCACAGAGGACTGTTGTTGGAACACCTTGAGAATTGCTTGTACCAAGAGCATGAGACATCTTGGAAGTCAGATGTGAACTTCTTGAGAAGATATCTAAGGTGTTACATGGAGAAAGTGTCTTGGTTCTAAAGAAGAAAGTCTAGGAGTAGGTTTCATCTGGGGCTTCCCAAGGACTCCAGGGAATGTCTTGGGGCTCAGACTTAGACTACTTACAACCTTGTTTCAAGAACCTAAGTGGTAATGAGGCACAACCTCCTCTTTCTCATCTCTGCACCTGGATGCTTAAGACCCACCTACTCTTGTCACCATGGAATTATGCTCCGATATGTTCAGAAAATGGAAGTTCCCAAGGTGCCAGTGCCCAGCCTGGCACATAGGAAGTATTCTATAGAAGGAATTTGCTGTGTGATTGATAGTTAGAGTTCAAGACTGGCAATAGAGAGCATGTGAGTCTGGAATGTCTAGGCATCTGTGTATCATCCCTTGTGGAGTGCAAGCACCTAAGAGTAATGAGGGATCAAGTCTCACCTTATCCTTTGCTCTGAGAGCACAAGGCCACCTGTACACCTTCTCAGGGGGAACTTTGTTGTAATTTTCCTTTGTGCTGCAGCTATATCTGGAGAAGAAAGTTTATCAAATACTGTAAATATATGTTGTTGTTGTTGTTATGTGCCGTCGAGTCGCCTGC